TAGGTCCCATTTGTTAGTTTTTGCTTTTATTTCTATTGCCAGGGTAGACTGCCCGAGGAGTACATTGCTAAGATTTATGTCTGATAATGTTTTGCCTATGTTTTCTTTTAAGAGGTTTATTGTGTCTTACCTACCAAATATTAATTGAGCACTTATGAGTCAAAGACCATGCTAGGCAGTGGCAATACAGTATTCCCAATACATCATGTACGTGTATTAATGTCAACACAAAGTCTTCTGTGAGATTGAAATTTATATTACTGTTCTTATATCCATATCTCCTAATTTTTAGAATTATAGAACTGGAAAGGACAATAGACACCATATAGTGTTCGTACTCTGAATTTTGCAAAAGTGGAAACTGAAGTTCATGGGGGTTATGTCATTTAACTAGATTGTGAAGCTTATTTGTGGAAGATCTGGGACTAGAGCTCAGGTCTTAATTAATTTTTGTCCAGTACATTATGTTTCCTCAATATCATGATCACTGGAAAAAAGCACATGCATTTACAAATCTTGTGTAACAAACCTAAATTTTATAGCAAAAAACACAGCTAACACTGTTGCATGCTGGAACCAATTTTCCACTTGAAAATTTTCTTTTGTCATAAATATTTTTCCTTCTCTTTACTGTGGCCGATTTTCTAAAGTGTTGCAGCTTTTATAAGCAAGTCTTAATTTGTGGATTAGAGGCAGTCAGAAGGAAAACAATATGTTCCCGAAAATTGATTACAGATTTCATTTTTCCATAACTTTCTGCTTGAAGGATTCTGGCTTATTAGTCAGTAAAAAGAGGTGTGCCTGTCACATGAAGATCTGCAAGGAATTTGATTAATGCTACTTCCAAAAATAAATTTTACGTTAACCTAGAGCTATACCTCAGATCAGAAAAATCCAGTTTCACATTATTGATTTTCACTTTAACAAGTGACAGAGTAAGCAGAGTTTATAATGTTTATGGATGAAAGTGGCATATAGAATATTCTTTAATTAATATCTTAGTCTGTATATACAACAATGACATTTTATTAAACAGAAAATATATTTAATTTTTCTCTGCTTTGAGTATTTTTTAAAAGTGTTTTCCTTAATTAGGGTGCTATTTTAAAAGATATCATTGTGGTAGAATACTATCTTCACAAAATATGTTTATTAAATTACTTCAGATCATTTTTAAGGGATAATCTTTTTTTTTTCATCTGAATAATTTCAGGTGCTTATTACAGGTTCTCACCCTAGACCTAGTGGATTTGCATTTTTCTGTGGACTACTAACAGTCAATAGATTTGCATTTTTAATAAATCCTTCAGATGATTTTTATGCACATGAAATTTTGGGAACCTCTGATTTGAACACAGAAGAGAATATAAGTTTAAAAATATTCCTATCTCTCAAGACACTGATGTTTCCCTTGCCCACTGTTTTTCCATGTTTTGTTACTGGAAGTAAAATCACCTGCTACCTATTAAGTTGATTGGTATGACCAGGTATTCTGAAGATTCTAGCTGACTCATTTGCTTAAATGAGTTAAATGGATGTATTTAATGAAGTTATTTGAATTTCAATCAATGAAGCAATCAATAACTATTTTCGGAATAGCTACTCAAGCAAGGCTCTGCAGAAAAGAACTAAATGTGTTTCAGAGCTGAGCTTCCATAGTACTTTGTTAATGACTCCATCATACATGATCCCATTGTATTTACCACGTTGCTGTGTTGCTGTGTCCGTGTCTGTGCCTCGATGTGAATTCCATGATGGTTAGGTACTAAATCTTACTCATTTTTGTGACCCCAGATCCCAGGACCACGTTTGGTATGTAATAATCACCTACTACACATCTGTGTTTGGATTTTGAATGAACAGATATACCACTGAGATATGTTTCAGGAAGTAGGATAGAATGATCAAGTGGTTGAATTTGAAAGCAAGGGTGTGTTGAGACACCACAGGTAACTTGAGAGAAGTGTTCAAGGAAGTATGGGTGGGTTTCAATTTATACTTATTATTTTCATTAATTGTAGTGAAAATTACCCAAACTTTATGTGATACATTTCCACATTACTGCATAAGCATTTAATTTGTATTTTTTTTATTGCTAGCTATGTTTATTTCCTCCATTTATTTATTTGAAAAGTCTATTTCTTCTTGTATGAATTATCAACTTGTGTCTTGCCAATTTATCTATTGGAATATTGATGGATTTTCTCACAGCTTTGCATGAACTTCTTATGTACTATAGATGGGAACCCTCTGCAAATAATATTTATTGAAGATATTGGTATCTATTTTATTTTTAGGTTGTTTTTATTATAAATACAAAGTTCATATATTACTGTGTTTTCTCTTTATAACTTTGTCATAATCAAAGGATCAAACATTATTCTTCCAAAGAGCTGATATGCTTTTCTGTTTTTTAGAATTTCAATGTTTAGATTAAAAATGTTTAATTATTGAATCTGATATGGTCTACTTATGATATATTGGCTATTTTAGAGGTAAAAAGAATGAACTGATATAGTAATATAGTTTTTTAGCAAATGAATATGGAAGCTGGATGGAGTTGTGTGGGAGAAGGAGTTAACATGTACAGAATGTGTGCTGTACGCTCAGCAATTTACATACAGGCATGGGATCTGGTTAGGAGGCTTTTCTGTTAACTCACTTTTTTTTTTTAAATTGAAGATTAGTCTGTTAACAATGTTGTGTCAATTTCTGTTGCTCAGCTTAATGTTTCAGTCATACACATACATACATACATTCATTTTCATGTTCTTTTTCTTAACCCACTCTTGATATGACAAGAGCCTAAAGTACGGTGTTTGCGATCAGAGAAGGAAAAGAAGGGAGCAGTAAGACAGGCTCAGATAACTCCTACATCTTCCCTCTTCTCTTTATGCTGCACGATGAGTATCTAACAATAACAGATGGAGAACATTGAAGAATTCCTAGTAATTTGGGGTTTTACAAAGAAAAACATTATTTTCTGATAAAAATAGTTATATGAGTGATTCAGGTAAAAGATTTATTTGGGGGGACCAAATTGTGTGTCTTTAGAATTGTTTTAGCTGAAAAAGCTACTAATCATGAGATTATTGTCTGTGGAACCAGAGGAGCCATGTTGGCATCTATCTATTATGGATTTATGCGTTTTTTATGGATTTAGTATGATTTGGAAGAGATTTTAGGAAGTAAATGATGCACTTATGCCCTTTAGCTGTCATCTGTGGCTGGTTGCTCATCTGGATTCTATGACTTGTCCCAAAAGTACTTCTTGTGGTGTCAAAAGTAGGAGAATAGAGGACAACCCAAAACTTAACCTCACTTAAAACTAGTGAAACTAGTTAACCCAGTTACTTCTATCATTTGGGTGACAAAATTTTATAATGTTTGAGGAATATAAGGAAATAGTAAATATAATAATGACTAACATTTGAACAGGACCTTACTGTTTGTTTGTTTATTTATTTATTTATTTATTTATTTATTTATTTATTTTTATTGAGGTATAGTCAGTTTACAGTGTTGTACCAATTTCTGGTGTACAGCACAATTCTTCAGTCATACATGAATATACGTATATTCAAGAACCTTACTGTTTACACACACTTTCATAATACATTATTTAATTTTCATAATAGCATGAGATAGAATTATCTTGAACCTAAAGCCTGCCTTCAGTTTCCATGCATTATACAATGCTGGAACCAGCAGAAAAGAAGTCTTAGAGTTGTCCAGTAACCAACATCAGATGTAAAGGGTTGTGGTGCCAAAGAGATTCTTCACCTTAACTTAGGAAAGGAAAACACAAACAAGTGGATAAACAAAAGGAGATGGGCAAAAATCAAAAGCATATCTAAGGAAGAAGTTCCTCATAGTGAAGACTGAGTGTCTGGAGGAAGTTTCAGCCTTTCTTCCCTAGTTTGAGTCTACTCTTCGGAATGATTTGTAAATGTTCAAGCCTGCTAGCTAGAAATTGATTAATTGACACCCCCAAAGCATGTGAGACATTTTTAAGTAGTGACTCTCCACTCTTTAAGGTTGTTGATAATGATAATGATGATGATGATGATAAAAGTTACTGTTTACGGAGACTTACCATGGATCATGTACTATGCTGACAGATTTACATGAAATATGTCATCATCCTTACAACAATCTGATGAAAACAAGCCCTATTTCCCCATTTATAAGTGAGGGAAAATGAAATGTAGAAGGTTGAATAACAGCTACTAAGTGGCTGAAATGTGATTGGATATCAGATGACCTGACTCCGACGTTTGTGGATTGAATGACTGTGCTCTAATATAGGATGAATGTTGGGGACACTGGCAAAGTTGCCTGAACAAAAATCTTGCAGTGACATATCCTAACCAGATGAGCTCAGGTAAATTTCACACAATAGTCACTGATTATTCTTGTGAGCGGCTTTCATTGAGCAGCCTGGAAAACCTCCTGGTAGGCAGGATGTAGGGCTGAGTTCACTTTTGCACTGGGCCACTGAGAAAATGCCTGGTGCCTTTGTGAGGCAGCCAACGTGGCCACAGGTGGGAAGAGGGGGCCCTCCCAGGGAGCCCATCCAGCTGTAGGTCTATCATCGTAACGTTTGGCTTTTCTCTATGACTGATGAGGCCTATTCTGTAGATGAGAAACCTGAAGTCCAGAGAGATTTGCCCAGTTTTATTAAATGTTTATCCTTGTTGGAGAGCAGGAAACAATGTTTTGGACTTGAAGAGGCTTTCATAAAGGTAAGTGGTGTGGAAGATAAAGTTCTCATGATCTCCTTTTTTTGGAAAGCTGCTCTGGAAACTCAATATTAACTCCAGAACATTAATCAATCTAAATAATTCCCATAGGGAGTAAAAAGCTTTCTATATTTGGTTCAGTTCTAAAAATACTAGACTCTAGTAGCAGAGAAGAGATATTTCTCTGGTAAGAAAATAAAATTTGTTCTTTTTTTTTTTTTCTCAGAATGGTAACTTCCTTGTTTCTCGTCTTTTCAGAGAATATGTGTTCTGTCAGCAGCTAAGAACATAGATCTGGTTGCTGATCAAGACTCTGAAGTGAGGCCTGAGAAAACACAGAGCTGAGGTAAGAAGTTCCAGGAAACACTGTAAATCCTGTCACGATGTTCTGTGGTATTTCACATGCTTAGAAAAAGGTGAACTTGAGGTGAATATTGAAAAAGGTAAAGTTCTCAGTTTAGCCTGAGAAACAGAAAACTGAAAAACAAAATGTGAATTTTTATTTTTAGTGTAATATAAGGATGGCCTTTTGCTTTTATTAAAAAGAGGAAACATTAGTTCATTTGAGTTTGGGACACTCTTTGGACAAACTCTTAATCTTTTATCATGATCCTTAAGGCTTTTCGTCTTTTGGCTTCACTGACCACATCACCTACCATTCTCTCTTCACTCGTGGTGCACTGGTCACACTGGCCTTCATTTATTTCCTTGCACACTTGTTTTGGCCTAAGAACCTTTTGCAGTTGCTGTTCCCTCTGCCTGAAATGCCTTTTCTGTAGCTTTCACTTGGTGGGTTCACTCTCATCATTCAGATCTCAGATCAAGTATCATCTCTTTAGAAGGCCTTTGCAAGACCACCCTAATCAGCCCTTGTGTCCCCTGCTGCCCACCATCTTGTGTGCTCTTCCATGGTTCTTCCCCCCATTGGGACACTTGGGAAGATAACACATTCCTTGCAGTCAGGCAAGCCTCTGGGACAAGTTTTGGGCGATAGGACATAGATAAAAGCGATGTGATGGTGGATTCTCATCAGCCCTGGCATTACCCAGGTATCATGCGTAAGAAAAACTCTAACTTTGTTGTCTTATGACACTGAGATTTTGGGGGTTGTTTGTTATCGCAACATAACTACCCTTATCCTGTCTACAACACCGTCCTTCTGTTTTATTTTCTTCAGAGCACCTGTCCCTCTTTGAAGTGATCTCATTTATTTATTATTAATGTGTCCCCTACTTCCAAACATTGCCAGGTGCATTAGCTGTACACAGTGTACTAAAGGATTAACTTCCCATATAGTCTGTGGATTCCTAGCAAGCTCAAACAATCTTAACCAGGTCTTTGAGAACAGCCCTTAAGCCCTGTGCTGACTTCTTTGGCATGAGTCTGGTAAATAAGGAGGTGCCTCTGAATAGCACTTGATGAATTAGGCTGGGTGCTTACTACCTCAGTGCTCTCCCTGCACCAGCTCATTTCTCCTGAAGTGGACTTAAATTATTCCAAAAAGACTGAGCAGAACCAGGTAGAATGGTGTTGTTTCCCATCCCTAATGAGGATCTCCAAATATTTACACAAGGAAAGAAGAGAATGTGTATTTCCAGAGCCTACACAGATTCTGCTCTCCCGTACCTCACCCTGTGTAGGTCAGGGGAACATGGTGGTCACAGCCATTGCAGCTCACCAGCCCTGCCTTGGACGTGTCAATTCAGTGTACGACACTTTTAAGGAATGTCCTCATGTAATAAATGAAGGGGTTGCACTGCATCCATAGTTTCCAAACTGTGATCCCCGAGGTGCTATAGGAGAAACAGGAAGGAGATGATTGTGAGTTGATGTTTGTCTGTTCTCCCCTCCTTTGCTTCCTTTTCAGCCGAAGCATCTCTTAAAAAAAAAAGTTTATTTTTTTTATGTTGAGGAGTCTAAATAGCTATTCATTTCAAAATGGATTTTATGATTTTAAACAAGTTTTAAAAAATCAGATTTGATATTTTCTAAAGACCCTTCTGCTTCCAAAGTTCTAAAAATCTAGGAGCCTATTATGTTCAAGTCACTGTGCTGGGCACAGTTCAGTGTGATGAAAATGAAGAAGACGTCACCTCTGTCCTCCTGATTTAGCAGAAGAAAGAGACTCTTGCATGAATAATATCAGGAAATGAATAAAGTTGGAAAAAGGCAGAAGGAGAGGAGAGTACCAGGTGTGGACTGCCTGTGGAAGTCACCACCGTGTGCAAGCCCTGCTGTTATGGCCCCTCTCAGCTGCCGTCCCAGCAGCATGCTTGATGGTGGGGTGATTTCTCCAGACTTGACACAGCAGCTTTTTATTTATTTATGTATTTTTAAATATCTTTTTCCTTTTTTCTCTCTTTCTTCTTTTTAAATTGAAGCATAGTCAGTTTACAATGTTGTGTCAATTTCTGGTGTACAACATAATGTTTCAGTCATACATACATTTTCATATTCTTTTTCACTATAGGTTACTACAAGATGTTGAATATAGTTCCCTGTGCTATACAGAAGAAACTTGCTGTTTATCTGTTTTATGTATAATAGTTAGTATCTGCAAATCTTGAGCTCCCAGTTTATCCCTTCCCACTCCTTCCCCCTCTGGTAACCATGAGTTTGTTTTCTTTGTTGACACAGGGGCTTTTATTGCTTCTTGATTGACTTTTGTACCTCAGCTCCCTAGTACTCAGCTTCTTGCATTGTTTTTTGCTTATTCATCCCTGAGACTTTTGTCTGATATATTCCATGTCTTTAGCAATTTTCTTTCTTATCAAAACTGCTGGTCACATAGGTCTTGGCAATTTCAATTAGAATTCAAACACTTTTATACAAACACAAAATTCACTCTGATGTCAAGAGCTTCAGGAATAAGAAATATTGACCAATAAGAAATATCAAGTTTGTGTCCCTGGCCACCCTACTACCTTTGATGTTTCAGATACAAGAGTGTTACTGTGTCTCATTTCAGCAGAGTCCTCTGATTCTCCTTGGTTCCAACACAGGGTCTACCACCAGCTGTCTTTGGATTTTGGGTTGTTATTTCACTTCACTTGGCTTCAGTTTCTTCTGTGTACAAAGAGGGTAGATTGTATTAACTTACTGTATTTTAATCTTTCTCTTCTTTTTGGTCATGCATTCATTTATTTAAATTTCTAATTTAAAAAATAGGAAATCTATTCATATGCCTTAAAATCCAAATGCTACAAACATACATAGAGTAAACCTTCTCACTCCTGTCTTCCATCTGCTCAGTTCCCATGCCCACCCTTCCCCATCGGTAACTATTTTTAATTACTTTTTGTTAGTTTTTTGGGTCTTCTTCCAGAAAATGTCCCTGCAAACATAGTCACATACAAATATCTTGCCTTATTAATATATTTGAGGAGTGTACTGTGTACATTTTCTTTTCTCTAGATAGAATGTACCTTCATTCTTTTGTCCAGCTGGTGAGCATTCTGTTTTATCGGTACAGTTTAATTTATTTAACTAGCCTTCTAATAATAGCTATATGAGTTGCTATTATAACTATGTTGTAATAAATATCCTTGTGCATATGTCATCTCTAATGTATGTAAATATGTGTAAGAAGAAATTCCTAGAAGTGGAATTGCTAGGTGAAAGGGTGTATACCCTTTGTAAATTTCTAAGTTGATACCTGTAGTTAAATAGCCCTCCACAGGCATTGCACTACGTGACTCTCCCACTAGTAACATATGAAAGTGTCTCTTTCAGACACTCAGAATGTGCTGCCCAACTCTTGGATTTGTGCCAATCTAGTAGGTTAGATATGGTATCTCAGTGCAGTTGTGATTTGTATTTTTCTTTCTTATGATTCAAGTTAATCATCTTTTAAAGATTTAAGAACTGTTTATATTTTAAAATTCTGTTTCTTATCCTGAGATTTCTCATGGCCTGATGGCAAAAACAACACTCCTCTGGTCTACCCACAGCTTCATCAAGCCATGTCTCCAAGTGACGGATGCCCACAGCACTCTGTCCAGCCTTTGCATTGATTTTACACTTGGAAACACTCTTGGTCTATCCTTCATCTTCCCTGTTCATCTCTTTTTAATTCAACGCTGTACATTTCTTTGGCCTTTGTATGGAATTGCTTTTCAAGAGTAACTCTTCCAGCCAAAACACTTGCTGAGACACTCACTAGGACTGCCTCATTGCTACACAATTCCTTACTGCCTCATTAACCATAAAACACAGAAAACAAAAACAAAAAGCAAGAAAAGCAAACAAAACAACTACGACCATTCCCTTTTTGTAGTCAAATCCAAGAAGATTGGATATTCTTTCACTGAGGAGAGAGTAACCAGTATCATCAGTGAGTGGAATTTTCCCGTGGCTTTTGGTTTGGTAAGATTGTTTGCACTTAGATCCTGTGTAAAGACATATTTGCATCGGGATGCAAATTCATCATAGGGATGTAGAGGGACTTGGCAAAGAAGACTGATATGTGAGAGTCCTTGGCAAATAACAAATGCGTGCAGAAAGGGATTGTGAGGCTTGATGGCATCTGACCGCTACATTCAGCTGTAGATCCTTCTGTCAACTCTGAAGTGTCTGTGTTATTTGGTATTGGACATGACACAATATCCATATCCCCTGGCAAAGGGCTTTCAAAGACAAACAAAGCACTTTAACTTTCCTGTATAGTAAACACCCATTTGCACTATCTAGATAGTTAATAGCATAATGCAGAAAATTTTGACAGGGTAGGTATGATCCAGGACTGGCTTCATGGGCATGTGAACTGTGCAGTTGCACAGGGCTCTGTGCCAGTAGGGCTCCATGCTTAGTTTAATGCTTCTCTGTCACCATCAAGAAATTCATAATAATTTTTGAACAAGGGGACTTGTCCCTCATTTTCATTCTGACCAAACCCCACAAATTATTTAGTGGCCCTGATGCAACCCGTAGTTAGATTGTCTGGTGAATCATGTTGGTTTGTAGAGCAGAGTCCAATGGATTAGTGTTATTTATGAAACATCTGTGAATATCCTTCCTTCTATGATGGTAATTGATACTTCCATTTATAAATATCAGTTGGAAGTGACAACTCTATTCTTGGTCTTAACAGAAAGGGACAATATTTATTTTAATCTTTCACAGCTTACTATAAAAAGCAGACCAGATACAGACATAAGGAGCAAAAGAAAGAGTGAAATATATTCCCTGTGTGCTTGTGAGTCAATATGGAGAACACCATTAAAATCCGTTTCAAAGTTATGCTAAGCATAGCCATTGCTTTTCCACATAAACATGCTAGGTTTCAATCCTAGATATAAATTTAAGCTGAAAAATCTTAATTCAAGTTACTTGCAAAGAAGACAGTCA